GGGGTTGGGGCAGGGGCCCTCCCTTTCTTTCTTCAAGGAGGCTGCCAGCCCAGAGCCCCAGCCTTGCCCTGATGGGAGGAAGTATTTCCAGCATGTTCTTTCATGTTTGCCCACCAGCCAGCTGTCAAGTGGGCTGTGGTCCCCCTAATGCCAGCCTCTCTGCTTGTTCCAGCACAAACAGGGCAAGGTGGGCCCTGATGGCAAGGAGCTGATCCCCCAGGAGTCCCCCCGAGTGGGTGGATTTGGATTTGTTGCCACTCCTTCTCCTGCCCCTGGTGAGGAAAAGTACACACTGGCAAGTGGGCCTACTGCTGACTCCCTGGGGGAGGTGGGCTTCTCAGTCGGCCCTGGCTACTCCTGGCCTCCACCTGGCCTGCCCCACACCTGTGTAACTCAGGGACCTCGTCTCCTGTCTGTACAAGGCCCTAGAGGCCAGGTGTTCAGGCTACTCAGGGCCGTAGGCGGGCTATACCTGACCTGAGACATCCTGGGGTGATGTGTCCTGTCCTTGTCCTCACTGTGATGTCAACAGGCGGGGGTGTGTGCACAGTGCTTAGGAGTCTAAGTCTGCCTAGCACTGCAGGGAGGGAGGCTTGGCACCTCAGGGGGCAGGTGAGACTCAGGTGGTCCCGTGGCATGTGTGGGTACCCCTCCTGCAGTCTGGCCTCTGTGCTCTTGGGTACTGGTACTGTGTCACAGGTCAGGGCATGTGAAGGCACTGCAGGTTTGCACGGGGTTCTAGGAGGTTTGGGAGCCCTGGAAGGCCTGAGTGTCTCCTCCTGCGTGATTGGGGGAGACCTCCCAGAGGCTTATAGGCTAAGCATGTGGCTGTAGGGCCCTGAGCCCTCCTCGGGCCCACTGGGACCTTGGCATTTCCCTTTTGGAGGATGGAGGTGCCAGGGTTCCAGAGTCCAGGGGAAGGAGAGAGGGCTAGCTGCCTGCCTTCTTATTAGCTGGGATGCACATTTGGTGAACTGGATGTGACTGAAGGGGAGGGCGGTGGGGACCCTAGCTGAGTCCTCTGTCCTGAAGTGGTTTTGGGCTCTTTGTCTGCAGGTGTGAATGAGTCCCCGATGATGACCTGGGGGGAGGTTGAGAACACACCCTTGAGAGTTGAAGGTTCGGAAACCCCCTACGTGGATAGGACACCAGGCCCAGCTTTCAAGGTGGGTTGTGGCGATGGGGGAACAGTGTGTAACTCGGTGTGGATGCCTCTGGAGCCCTGAGTGCCTGTGGCCCAGGACTGAGCACTGGGATTGACCCCCAGCCGCTGACAGGCAGAGTGCTGACTTTTCTGAATGCCAGGGTGCTGAAGGCAGGTGTGGGTGGGTAGGTGGGCCTGTTACAGAGGGATTTCGGGGTATAGGGGCTGAGACACCAAGGTAGAGAGTGGCTTGGGTCTTCTGAATCCTAGAGGCCAGGTACTGTTCGTGAATGAGGCAGGATGGTCACAGTCACATCAGGAGCTCTGCAGGCCTGAGGGCCATGGGATGTGGCTGTGTGCTTGCAGAGCAAGCCCCTGGTTACAGAACACGATTGGGGCACACTGGATTGCACAGCTCAAGCCTGGTGTTGTAGGAGTGGTCAGGGTGGAGTGTGTGAGGCTCGGCACAGACCAGGGGAGGCTCTTTGTGGGCTGGGTCAGATGCAACAGGCCTCCCTGTACCACTGCGGGGCTTTCCCCAGAGTACTCAGTGGAGGTAGCCCACGTGCAGACAAAACATGGGCAGAGGTTTGGGTTACCTTGGTTCTAAACTCTGTCTGGGATGCAAGCATAACCAAGGCAGACGTGCAGGAGGGATAACGAAGAGGATGCTGTGCTGTCAGATGTGGGCACAAGGCAAGGGCCACGGTGCTTTCGAGGTGCCACCTGCTGCTGCTTCTTGAGCCTCCAGGCTGACAGAAAAAAAATTCTGAAACAAACCGTGATCCAGGTCAGAACTTAGGGGCTGAGAAAGATGGCGAGTCAAACTGCACTGAATAGCAGAGTATGTAGAAATGAAGGACTCTGAGTCAGGTCAGAACTTAGGGGCTGAGAAAGACGGCGAGTCAAACTGCACTGAATAGGAGAGTATGTAGAAATGAAGGACGCTGAGTCAGGTCAGAACTTAGGGGCTGAGAAAGACGGCGAGTCAAACTGCACTGAATAGCAGAGTATGTAGAAATGAAGGACTCTGAGTCAGGTCAGAACTTAGGGGCTGAGAAAGACGGCGAGTCAAACTGCACTGAATAGCAGAGTATGTAGAAATGAAGGACTCTGAGTCAGGTCAGAACTTAGGGGCTGAGAAAGACGGCGAGTCAAACTGCACTGAATAGGAGAGTATGTAGAAATGAAGGACTCTGAGTCAGGTCAGAACTTAGGGGCTGAGAAAGACGGCGAGTCAAACTGCACTGAATAGGAGAGTATGTAGAAATGAAGGACGCTGAGTCAGGTCAGAACTTAGGGGCTGAGAAAGACGGCGAGTCAAACTGCACTGAATAGGAGAGTATGTAGAAATGAAGGACTCTGAGTCAGGTCAGAACTTAGGGGCTGAGAAAGACGGCGAGTCAAACTGCACTGAATAGGAGAGTATGTAGAAATGAAGGACGCTGAGTCAGGTCAGAACTTAGGGGCTGAGAAAGACGGCGAGTCAAACTGCACTGAATAGGAGAGTATGTAGAAATGAAGGACGCTGAGTCAGGTCAGAACTTAGGGGCTGAGAAAGACGGCGAGTCAAACTGCACTGAATAGGAGAGTATGTAGAAATGAAGGACGCTGAGTCAGGTCAGAACTTAGGGGCTGAGAAAGACGGCGAGTCAAACTGCACTGAATAGGAGAGTATGTAGAAATGAAGGACGCTGAGTCAGGTCAGAACTTAGGGGCTGAGAAAGACGGCGAGTCAAACTGCACTGAATAGGAGAGTATGTAGAAATGAAGGACGCTGAGTCAGGTCAGAACTTAGGGGCTGAGAAAGACGGCGAGTCAAACTGCACTGAATAGGAGAGTATGTAGAAATGAAGGACGCTGAGTCAGGTCAGAACTTAGGGGCTGAGAAAGACGGCGAGTCAAACTGCACTGAATAGCAGAGTATGTAGAAATGAAGGACGCTGAGTCAGGTCAGAACTTAGGGGCTGAGAAAGACGGCGAGTCAAACTGCACTGAATAGCAGAGTATGTAGAAATGAAGGACGCTGAGTCAGGTCAGAACTTAGGGGCTGAGAAAGACGGCGGGTCAAACTGCACTGAATAGGAGAGTATGTAGAAATGAAGGACTCTGAGTCAGGTCAGAACTTAGGGGCTGAGAAAGACGGCGAGTCAAACTGCACTGAATAGCAGAGTATGTAGAAATGAAGGACGCTGAGTCAGGTCAGAACTTAGGGGCTGAGAAAGACGGCGGGTCAAACTGCACTGAATAGGAGAGTATGTAGAAATGAAGGACGCTGAGTCAGGTCAGAACTTAGGGGCTGAGAAAGACGGCGGGTCAAACTGCACTGAATAGGAGAGTATGTAGAAATGAAGGACGCTGAGTCAGGTCAGAACTTAGGGGCTGAGAAAGACGGCGGGTCAAACTGCACTGAATAGGAGAGTATGTAGAAATGAAGCACACTGAGTCCTTCGGATGCGTAGCAGCATTTATTCTGGAAAAGTGAAAAGGTTACCTGTAAAAACAATAACCATAAAATAACCACGAAATAATGGCAAATATTTAGTTTGATTTTTAAAATTTTATTTATTAAGTATTATTATTATTATTACTTTTTTGAGATGGAGTCTCACTCTGTCACCCAGGCTGGAGGGCAGTGGCACAATCTTGGCTCACTCCAACCTCCACCTCCTGGGTTCAAGTGATTCTCATGCCTCAGTCTCCTGAGTAGCTGGGACAGCAGGCATGTGCCACTGCACCTGGCTAATTTTTGTATTTTTAGTAGAGGCAGGGTTTCACCATGTTGGTCAGGCTGGTCTCAAACTCCTGACCTCGTGATCCGCCTGCCTTGGCCTCCTAAAGTGCTGGGATTACAGGCATAAGCCACCGCACCTGGCTTCTTCTTCTTCCTTTTTTTTTTTTTTTTTTTTTTTTTTTTTAACAGAGTTTCACTCTGTTGCCCAGGCTGGAGAGCTGTGGTGCAATTATAGCTCACTGGGCTCAAGTGACCCTCCAGCCTCAGCCTCTTGAGTAGCTGGGATTAACAGCACACACCAGCACACCCAGCTAATTTTTAAAAATTTTTGTATAGAAATGAGGTCTTGTTATGTTGCCCAGGCTGGTCTCCAACTCCTGAGTTCAAGTGATCCTCCCACCTTGACCTCCCAGAGTGTTGGGGTTACAGGTGTGAGCCACCACTCCCAGCCTGTAGTCTAATCTTAAGTTAGGGAGAACCTTCTAAACATAAAAGGAAAAGGAAGAAATCACAAAGATGACAAATACAGCAGAAAATATTATAAATGAAACTAACGCAAATAACTAAAAACACATGTGCACGGCGTAGCGCAGTTGACTTGACACAGGTGAGGGTCTTCTGAGTGACAGCAGCAGAAAGGGAAAATCAATCCCTTGAGAGCAAACTAGGCCACAGACACACAGGGAATCTGCACCCGAAATAGACAGGGCCAATAAAGACAGAGATGTTCATTCTTAGAATCAGGGAAACACTAAAACATACACTCTTTTTCCTGAGAGATTGTCAGAGGTCATGGCTTTGGGAGGAACATGAAGATAGGTGAGGAGTGCTGGCCCCTGGAGAGGGCAGGTGGGGTTGGGGGCTTTCCAGGGGCTTTTAGAGGGAAGTCATGGTGGGTTGTGGGGATTGTGTAGGCCACAGGGAGAGGCTGGCGCCCACAACAGTGGCTCTCTGTATGAGGGACTGCCATGTGGCAGGCCTGGCACAGCTACCCACGTCTGATCCCTTGTAGATCCTGGAGCCAGGCCGCCGGGAACGGCTGGGGCTGAAGATGGCCAATGAGGCTGCTGCCAAGAACCGGGCCAAGAAGCAGGAAGCTTTGCGGAGAGTGACGGAGAACCTGGCCAGGTGAGGGGCCTCCTGGCTGCTGGGGAAGTGGGAGAGTGGCCCTGGCCTGCTCCTATTCAGCCCTTGCCCTGACCGTGTGGAGGCGTGGCCCATGCGGCAGAGTCCAGGGCAGATCCACGGGGTTCTTCAGTGGGTGCTGTGGCAGCTCCTCTTACCCAGAGCTTGGCCACACGTGGACAGGACGAGGGCCCCTCCATCTTCTCTTTCCTCCACATCCTCTTTGGCCCGTCCCTAAGAGGCACCTTTTGGTGTGTGGTCCTGGTGGGAGCTTCCATCAGCCCTGTGGAGAGAGTCATCGTTCCCCGTGGAGAGGGGTGGGGACTCCAACTCCCAGAGGTCTGCGGGTCTACCCCAGCCCCCACAGCTAGGGCAGCATGCTGTTTGACCTCAGATTTGACCTGAGCGCTGCCGTTTGACCTTGGGGCTCCCTGGTACTTGCACCATGCCAGGCAGTGCCATCCTCCTCAGCTCAGAGTGGCTATGTCTTTGCCCAGGCTCTTCCTGGGAGCTGAGGGAGGCCCTACTGTCAGCAGCTCTCTGCCCATCTAACCCTGCCTCTCTCGCCCATCCCTCCACCCCAGCCTCACCCCCAAAGGCCTGAGCCCAGCCATGTCCCCAGCCCTACAGCGCCTTGTGAGCAGGACAGCCAGCAAGTACACAGACCGGGCCCTACGGGCCAGCTACACACCATCCCCAGCACGCTCCACCCACCTCAAGACCCCGGCCAGTGGGCTGCAGACCCCCACAAGCACACCAGCACCTGGCTCTGCCACACGCACCCCCCTCACGCAGGACCCGGCCTCCATCACGGACAACCTGCTGCAGCTCCCTGCCCGACGCAAAGCCTCAGACTTCTTTTAGAGCCAGGCCTGGAGCTGGGCCCATGGACACTTCATGGAATCTGCAGGGCAGCTGTCCACCCAGCAGAGGACTCCAGCCTTCTCAGGACCCAGGCCTGGGCCAGAAGCTGTTGACCCTGCCAGGAGCCACTGGAGAAGGGGACTGTACTGGAACCAGGCTGGCACAGGGCACACACCCCAGGGCCTTTCCAAGCTGTTTGCTACTTAATCGGCCCCTTGAACTGTCATTAAAGAACGCCTGGTACAGTCTGGTGGGATCTCCTCTCCGTCCTGCTCTCCACACAAGCCTCAGGGTTGCCCTGGGGCCTGCATCACGTCTCGGGACTGCAGGGCTTGAAGCAAGGGGGCCCCCCAGGCAAGGAAGCTGCAGGTGGGGTGGCTGTGGGAGCTCTGGGTGACTCTGGCATTGCTTTCTGCAGCACCTGGAACCTAAATTCTGAGCTGAGGTCACACACATCCTCTAGTGCTTTCTGCTCCTCTGGGGATAATATGAAGGAGAGATGGAGCCCTTGGAAGTTATACCGCTCAGGTTCACCTGCGGCTCTGGGCCCAGGTCTGCAGCCTCCAAGCTGGGCTTGCCTGCTGTGAGGTGTACTGGTTATAGGACTGTTTGGGAGTGCATATCAGGTGACCTCAGCCATCACCTTCTCCTAGCACCTGGCTTCCAGCTCAGATGAGGTGGGACTGTCCCATCTTCCTGCCTTTCTGCTCAGCCCTCTGTTACAGGCACTGCCCATCTTATGCTGCTGGCCTTGGCCTCACCTTGTCACTCCCACCAATAGGAACACCCAGGTAATAGTAACATGGGCCCCAGGCTCCATGCAGACCTGGCACATGCTCTGTGCACTGTGGAAGCACTTGGCCATGGGCAGAGGATGTGTGTGCCAGACCCTTAGGAGCCTGGTGGCCTTGTGTTTTAAGTTGGTCACTGAAGCGGGGACTGAGCCTGCTTCCTGTGGAGATAGAGAGGTCTGGCTCCTATTGGTGGGAGTGACAAGGTGTGGAGGTCACAGATTGTGCCCTCGGGGTGGGGGTGTCGCTGCTCAGGGACACGCTTGGCCTCACACCGGGGTCCTTCCTGCTTTGAGTGTGCCCAGCCTGTGCTAGGCGATCTTCTCTGGTCCCCTCACTCATTCCCTAAGTGCTGAAGTTCTCTGGAGGCCAGCACAGAGCCTGACTCTGCCACCTTCCTGGGCCCACTGCTAACCTATGCTCCTCGACAGTGAGTTCCTGCAAGTTCCTGGGGTAACTGAGCAATAGATGTGCCCTGGGACCTGCAGGTAGACGTAGGGGTGCTGGACAGATCAGGCTGGGACTGTTCATGAGTGGGGAAGGTGGGGCCTTTGGTGCTTTACCCCATAGGAAAGGGTGGCTTTTATCTCAAGGGAGTCCCTAGGGAGTGGGGAGGAGCCCTGTCTAGGTGCTAACCACCTCCAGCACTTGGCTGGCGAATGGGCTGCATGCTTCGGCAGCAGCGGGTGACCCAGCAGAAAGCACGAAAGACTAGCCAGTGCACCATCATCAAGGGCTGCTGAGCAGCTTACAGGGCCACTGGGCGGGGAGGGCACAGGGGAGGTGAGGTCTTAGCTGGGGCTGCCCCTGGAGGGCAGGGCAGGCAACGTGAGGGCTGAGGACAGAAATCTCAAATGACTGGGAAATGGAGGAAGAGGAGGATGCTGAGGGAGAGGTTGTGAGGGAGCGGGGGCAGGTCAGAGCAGGCTGAACTGCAGGAGGCCAGGGGGAGCTGTAGACCTCTGGAGCTGGCCAGCCTGGGGGCAATGGGGATAGAGCCAGGTCAAAGAGAGACAGTGGGGGCCTGGTGGGTGGACCCTGGCAGAGGCCCTCTCGTCCCCAACTAGGCCAGGCCACACCTGAATCTGCCTGCGCCTGAGCACCTGTCCTGTGCTCCTAGGCTGGAGACCACTGTGCATCAGCTGAGGCGGCTGGCCGAGTCCCAGAGAAAAACACTCCTCACTGGGCACTCTCGATGCTTGTACACACCCTGTGGTTTACTTGGTGGTCAGTAAGGAGCATCTTTGCTACTAAGTGGATGAAAACTAATGGAATGTAATCAAAATAGTGGTTTAATTGACGAATTTTACTTGCACCTGTGTCTTCTTCAGATCCTACCTGCCTACTTAGTTTATGTGAAGGCCGACTGCGTCACGCCCCCCCCACCCCCCCGCCCCCACTACACATGATGGGGCTGTTGCCATGCTAGGTGCTCGCTTTCCCCACCTCAGCTCCGGAGATGTGATGGTCTTTGGCCCTGGAAGTCTGGGCCAGCCTGTCCTCCATCCTGTCCTCGTTCTCGGGCACCACCAGCGGCCGGTGCTGGTTTTTGGCTCCAAGCTTATGGTCGGGCTTGGGGTCAGGCCTCGAGCCTGGCTTGGTGTCCAGTTTGCACTCAGCGTGGTACTTGCCCTCCCCGTCCCTCTTGAAGGAGGCAGAAGACATGGCTTTGGGCTTGGAGGGCTGCAGCCATGAGTGGCTGAGGATCTCGTCGATGTGGAGCCGCTGGCTGACGTCAGGCTGCAGCATGTGGTAGATGAGGTCCTTGCACTCGCAGGTCAGGTTCTTGGAGCGCGGGAAGTCCACACGGTGCTCCTTCTGGATACGCAGCATCTTCCTGATGTCGGAGTCGTCGTAGGGCATGGAGCCGCAGACCATGATGTAGAGGATCACGCCCAGGCTCCAGATGTCATATACCTTGGGCTGGTAAGGGATGCCCTGCAGCACCTCGGGGGCTGCATACGCCGCCGACCCACAGAAGGTCTTGCTGAGGATGATGCGTCCATTGCCGTCCCTCAGGCATCGCTTGGAGAAGCCAAAGTCAGACAGCTTGATGTTGAAGTCCTTGTCGAGGAGAAGGTTCTCGCACTTGAGGTCCCGGTGGACGACATCCAGGTCGTGGCAGTACTTGACGGCCGAGGAGAGCTGTCGGAACATCTTGCGCGCCACATCCTCCTGCAGGGCCCCCCGGCACTTGATGAATTCGAGGAGGTCGCCCTGGACGCCAAGCTCCATGATGATGTAGATCCGCCCATCAGAGGTCTCGAAGATCTCGTAGGTCTTGATGATGGAGCAGTGGTTGACAGTTGCCAGGATGTCCATCTCCCGAGGAAGGAACCTTTCCACAAAGTCGGTGGGCGTTTTCTTGCGGTCAATGATCTTGACAGCCACATTGAACTTGAGGCGCTCAGAGTAGGCAGATTTGACTTTTGCGTAGGAACCCTTGCCGAGATTGATGCCCATGATGTAACCCTTCTTCTTTAGGACCGTGGCATCGTCCATGGTGCCAGAAGCGGCTGGCGCCACTGCCGTCTACATCCCCCCACCACGTGGGCCAACAGGCATTGTCTTCATTTACGATACTGGGAGGTGTCTGGCTGGGCTGGGCTGGGCTTGGCTTTGACTTGGGTAGAACACTCAGCATTGTCTCTGGGTGACGTCAGCAAATGAAGTCATAAAGCTAAGGAGGAGTGGGGTGGGAGTACCCGTTCCCCACCCACTGGAAGGAAGCCCACCCACAGGACAGGACTGTGGTGACCCTCTCTGCTGCTGCTCCTTGCATTGGCTTCCCTGTCACACGTCAGGCCAAAGGGGAGGAGGCCCGCGTCCAGCCTGTTTCCCTCACCTGGCTATGGGGACTGACCCTGCCATTGGTCTTTGTCCCCCTAGGGTGGGTTTCCTGCAGCTTCTTTGGGCCACGAAGAAAAGCCCCCTAGTGTCCTTCGTGTGGCAGGACAGTTCTCCCTGACAGTCATACAGACAGGCCTGCATAGCACCCCAGTTACAGACAAATTTCCATAGCGATGCCTTAACATTGAGCAAATAGTTAAATCTAGGGAAATCGGTGTCCAGACATCAAAGCTAGAAATGCAACGTGGTCAGCAGCTTCTCCCTTGCTGGAGCAAGCCAAAATAATGGGAACAGTTTTATATTCCCAGTGCCAGGACTTGTCCTGGGTCAACACAGTCTGAGACAAGTCAAGGTAGGAGAGGCAGCCGTTTGAATAGATTCATTGGGAGTGTAAGGCAGCTCTCCAGACCAAGCTGTAAAGGAGTAAAGATGGAAATAATCACTCCGGTAGCACAGTAGGCAGGCCTTAAAGCTACTGGGCCTCTTGTAATCGGACTTCGCAAGCATTTTTTTTGTCTCTGACCTACTTGAAACCAAATTAGTTACTAATAGACTTAGGTGATTGCTGTACTGCACATATGCCCATAACCCCAACCTATATAAACACCAAGGAAATTGTGATACTTCGAGTTGGTCTGTGGAATTATTTCTGGCCTTCTTTCTGTGTCCAGTTACGGTAATAAATTCCCTTCTTTCCTAGTTTGTCTGCTTCTTGTTGTTGGGCCTCGAGAAAATGCAGCTGGACCCGGCTTGGTTCTGGGAACATTGGGACCAGTGGTACCTAGGAGGGACTGCCCTGGACTAGTCAGGCTGGCAGTGGTGCCAAGCTTGGTGGATGAAAGCAGCTCTGTGTTTAGGAGCAGAGGCGCCAGGCCCCTCAGGGTAGAGAGCCGGGTAGGTGAGTTGCTGCTGGTCCAGCACATGGGGGCCTGTGTGTGGGTGGGTCGGGGCTTTGGTGCATGCCAGCTGGCAAGTGGCTGCATGTCTGAGGGGTGGGGCAGGGCCTTCCTTGCTTAGAGGCAGCAGGAAGGCACCTAGGCAGCAGAGAGCCTGGGAGAAGAGAGGGCTTTTTCTCAAAGTGACTGGGAAGTAGAAGTCAGGAGGGAAGTGAAAGAGTTGGGGCTTCTTCTCTGAGCAGCAGAGGCAGCTGCTGCAGGGTGCAGGACGGGGGAGGCGTCCCAGTGTGTTTTAAGATGGTCACTGGCAGAGAGAGAGAGAGAGTAGAATTGGCTTTGGGGTGAGGGTAGGGGCCAGTGCCTTTGAGCAAGTGAGAGGAGGCTGGGCCAGGATGGGCCCCAGGATCAGCAGGAGACAGAGAATTCAGGCCTCGGTCTTGTTTGCTAGTTTGTTGGTGGATGGGTCTTGGTACTGGGGAATCCTGGGGCTGGCAGTGCCCAGGCCGTGCCCTGCAAAGAGCAGGCACCTGGGTGAGAAGGGGGTTCTGAATCACGTCAGTTTGGGCCTTTGTGTGGGGTAGGCAGCAGTTGCCTGTTGGAACCCTAACACTGCACATCATGTGCATCTTGGGCTGCCTTTTGTACCTGGAAACAGTGAGGACATCGTTTCTCAGGGCTCACGTGGATTTGTGCTTTAGGAAATGTGGCATCCTGCACATGTCTCCATAGGTGCTTTGGACTGATGTTTATTTGTCGCCCATCACAGGCATCCTGGGTCCACAGAGAGTGGCTGGGACAGACAAGCTGTGTGCTCAGTGTTCAGGGGAGAGGGAGGAAGGCCTGTTTCCAGGTGGGGTTTAGTCCTGGAAGGTTTGATAGAGGAAGTGATATTGGAGCTGCGGTGCTGGGGATCAGCAGGCTCCACAGGGTTGACAAGAGGGGCAGGACATGCCAGGCAGATGTGACATCTTGGCCCTGGTATGGTTGGGTGGACCTACTCCATCTGGAGTACACAGGGAGCGCCCTGTATTTGGAGGCCACTGGGGAGGATTGCAGAGGCAGGGCAGCCAAAGCCAGGATGCCAAGCTGAGAGGCTCAGATGAGCAGGACGGCCTCCCAGAGTCCCACCTGAAGCTCTTTATAGCATCGGGGGTGAATAGCTTTAGTTGGATGTTTTCCTTTCTTCTGGGGGTCTCTATGGCTGAAATGACCAGCATTTCACTCCTTTTTGTCTGGCTGGCTGTGAAAATTTGCAGACCAGGACCCAGGAACATAAGAACTCCCGCTTACCCCCCCTGACCCCGACCCCTTCCCTTGCTCTCCCAAATGCTCTATCTGGGGCTTCTCTCTGCATATCTGCTTTCTTGCCAGAGGCTACCAATGCCTTCTCCCTTTTTATTTATTTTTATTATTTTTATTATTTTTTGTGTGTGTGTGCCTTCTACTTTACTCCCTGAGGGCCTCTCTGGTGCTTGGGGGACATGCCAGAAGAGGCAGGTGTCAACATTGCAGAGGCAGAGCTGCCAGGGCATGGAGGGGCCACTTCTTCCAGGAAGCACATGCAGGGCGGAGACTCCTGGTGTGTTTGAGGGAGGGGGTTGGATTGGATGCGGGGACCTCCAGCATTGCTCCCAGGGTTGCAGTCCTGTGAACCAGGTACCTGCACACTGAGAAATCCGCTTCCCTCTGAACCTGGCTTTCCTTTATAATAGTAGATACCTGTTTACCCATCCGTCCCCACAAGCACTGAGGGGCTGCCCTGGGTGCTGAGGTACACTGATGAGCTAGACCACTCATGCCTTCCTGGAGCCCAGAGGCCAGGGAGGCTCAATCACACCAAGTGTATGTGTTCTATGGTGGCTGTGTCATGCCTCCGGATCATGGTGCTGTAAGGACTGGGAACTGGAGATTGGACTTTGGGAAACTGGGGAAGGCCGAGGTCTAAGGAACTAGCCAGGTGGAGGGGGATGAGGATGGCTATTACATGTGATTGTTTGAAGGGACGTGGCTTGGCAGGAGCCTGGACAGGCCATGGAGGCCCATTGAGGTCCTGGTCCTAGGACCTCTGAGAGTCCTTGAAGGGGTCTGAGCCAGGGCTGAGCCCAGTTGACTGAGAAATTCACAGGAGTCACCTGGCATGGCAAGACCACCTATGGAAGGGTCACCTGGGCCCACTGCCCTGGGCAGTGTGATCTCAGACAGGTGGCCCACCCTCTCTGAGCTGTTTCCAACTGTAGAGTGCAGAGTAGGTGCTCCTGCACCGCTCCCACCCAGGCTCACCCAGGCTGACCTATAGTGGGGTTCCCAGACTCTCTCGCTGGCCACTGCCCTGAGGACCAGCACAGGTCTATGGGGATAATTGGGGAGGAGGTCCCATGAGCCATTCCTCAAGATATCCCACCGGGCCCCCATCCCCAACACTCTCGACTCCCTCTCCACCATGAGTTTCTTCATGGGAAAAACAGGATGGCCCCTCTAGGCCTGCTAGTAGAGTACACAGTGGCAGGCTGCTGAAACTCCCAGAAGGGTTTATGGAGGCCTCAGCCCCTCAGCCAAGCCTGGAGAGCTAACAGTCTGCAGGTGTGAGTTCCCCGTATGATGATTTCCCCATGTGTGTGATGGAGGTGCAGTGGTGAGGCCCGGTGCCCAGAGTCCAGGGGAGGATGCATCGGGCCACAGGAGGACCCCAGAGTCCAGGGGAGGATGCATCGGGCCACAGGAGGACCCCAGAGGCCAGGGGAGGATGCATCGGGCCACGGGAGGACCCCAGAGGCCAGGGGAGGATGCATTGGGCCACAGGAGGACCCCAGAGGCCAGGGTAGGTTTTCCCTGCTGGGCAGTGGGAGCCAGGCTGGGTGGAGGATGGCTCTGGACACTGTCAGAGTGGGTGGGAGGACTGGGGTGGAGGCCTGAAATTAAACCACATGGAGGGCTGGGCGTGGTGGCTCAAGCCTGTAATCCCAGCACTTTGGGAGGCCGAGGCAGGTGGATCACGAGATCAAGAGATAGAGACCATCCTGGTCAACATGGTGAAACCCGTCTCTACTAAAAATACAAAAAATTAGCTGGGTGTGGTGGCATATGCCTGTAATCCCAGCTACTCAGGAGGCTGAGGCAGGAGAATTGCCTGAACCCCGGAGGCGGAGGTTGCGGAGAGCCAAGATCGCACCATTGCACTCCAGCCTGGGTAACAAGAGCGAAACTCCATCTCAAAACAAACAAAAAACCACATGGAAGGACGCTGTGGGAGCATGAGGAGGCAGGTGGACTTGGGGAGGAGTGCAAGAGGAGGGCCGGCCCAGGCTCTCACTGGATGCCACTTATCTCAGGGGACTGAGGTTGGGTCTTCCCAAGGTAGAGAAGTGACCATAGGTAGACTATGGACAGTGATCATAGTTTCTGCTGGCAGTGGAGCTCCTCTGCTCTGACAGGCTTTGTGGCCAGCACCTACCTCAGGACCCGCCCTGGGGGAGTGGGAGTCACATGACTGTCCTAGCCTTGGATTTGACTTTAGCCTCATCCACCAACAAGCCATGGGAGAGGTGATTCCGAAAGCGCTTGTCCTTTGTGCGTATGTCAAGCCTTAGGCCCACATAAGGTTGTCCAGAGTAGGGCAAAGAGAAAGGGGCCATGAGGAGGTGAGCCCTGCCCGAAACATGCACAGGCCATGTAGCATGCTGTAGCCATTGGTGCCAACTCTAGGCTCATGCCCCCTGTGGGGCTCTGACAGCCAGCATTCCCTGTCCTCAGGCCAGGCATGCATTGTGGTTGCCTGTCCTATCCTACTTGCCAGTGTCACCTTCTAACACTGGCAGGGGTATCATCCCTGGGGACAGGCTGGGATGAGGACAACAGAATATGATCAAGACCACACCAGATGGTGGGACATGCCCAGGCTGGAGTGTGGCTGGGCCATCCAGCAGAGCCCCCAACTTCTGGGTTGGGGAATGACAATAGAGTGGTGTGACTCTGGCACTGCTGAAAGCTGGGTGCTGGCCAGGCACGGGGGTTCTTTGGTGGACAGGGCACAATGAACGAGTTGCCAGCAGGGTAGGGAGCTCAGGAGTGGCTGAGAGGCTGGCCACTTGCCCTCTGCAGTCTCCTTCAACCCCCCACTGGCAGCCTTGTGGGGCTGGAGAGGGCAAGTCTCCCCCTCAGTCCCAACTGTAGGCAGAGCCTGCGCTCTTCTGCAGGGATGCCTTGGCATGCTTCTTAGTTCTGTCCCCTCCCTGCCCTCTCCCCACCGCACTCAGGGGCATCCCTCCTGAAGCAGCAGCTTCCTCACTCGCCTCTCAGCTCTGGCCCCTGCCCCTCCAGGTCTCTCCCAGCCCCAGCGCCAGTCCCAGCCCCAGCCTCAGCTCGGGCCTGAGGTCATGGTCTAGACTGGGCATGCTGGGATGTGTTTTCCCAAGTGAATGAGGAATCATAGCATAATCTGAGTGGGAAACCAGCGGAGGGGAGCCCAGGACTAATCAGTTGAGACAAAGACATTCACTTTAGCATCTGTATTAATATAGGGATTTACTGCTTCTTTAGCCATTTTGGTTACAAAGTTCAAGGGGAAAGAGAAGATGGTGAAAACAGTGGCTCAGCTGGGACTGTCTTCCTTCTCTGGCTCAGGCCTTGACTTCTTCAGAGCTTGAGCCTAAGCCCTGTGTTCCATCTCACGTGCCACAGGCACACTAGGCTGCAAAAGGCTCACCAGGTACGCATCTCTGAAGGCTGCTGGTGGGGGGTGCCCTTCTTCTTTCTCCGTTTGATGGCTTGCTGGGGAAGCCCAGCATTGCTAACCCCTCT